TTTAGTCATTGATTGAAAAATATAACTAAAACCAATTGCTCTTTATATTCCAATTTACATGATACCAGCCTTATTTGTTCCAAATATTTTTGGATGTTATAGTGAATTGTTGTTATAGAAAACATATATAATAATAGAACATGAGATTTGGTTCCGGAAATATTTAGCTTTTATAGAAAAGTGTTGTTTCATGTTCTCGGATTTCTATTACGTTATGTGATTTTGTTCGCCTCAGTATTGTATTCCTTACTGCTATTATTTGGTACTACTTATCCTTTATCTCTCCCCTTTTCTTTTCTCTTCCTTCTTTCTTCCTTCCTTGCTTTCCTCTTATTCTTCTTGCCCTTCCTGAGCCGAGGGTCTATTGGAAACAGCCTCTCTACCTGCATTAGGTAGGGGTAAGGTCTGCGTACAGACTACCCTCCTCAGACCCCACCTGTTGGGATCAAACTGGGTTTGTGTTGTTGTTGTATAGAGAAGTGTTGTTATATAAGGATGTTGACAGAGAGGTCTGACTGTTTATTGTTTGAATAGAAAAAAATTATATTGGCTATGATATTTTCTAATTTTTTTACTCAAATTTCTAGTAAGTTATACATTTTTGTACTTATGTGTTTTTCCTTAAAAGGAGGAAAACAAAACTCCCCAATTAATGTAAAAGTGTCTCCGCTGTATCAGCTTTTCAATAATAATTTAATGTTTTTACGAAAATATCAAACATATAATAATTAAATTAAAGCAAGGGAATAAGTTGAAACTTGTAGAAATTGCATGATATAAGGCGATTGTTAGGGAAAGAGAAGAGACAAAAATAGTGAAGAATTGACAAAGAAACATCATTAATAAAGTTGCATAATTGTTTTAAGCAGTACTGATGTGAAGCCCACTACTCCCATTTTCTGTAGAGGAAAATAAGACCCTTACAAAAGTGGGCATCTTTTGCAACTTTGCATGCATCACGCCCCCCCTCCCACCCACCACCCCGCCCCACCCACAATAATATAACTGTCGGAGCTCTCTATAATAATATCCTTACATAACGGCCATTCACTTTTTTCTCGGAACCATGTTATGTTATAATATATGTCCTCTATAACAACACTTCACTATAACAGCCAAAAGATATCAGAACAAATGAGACTGTTATAGAGGGGAGAAATTCAAAAATAGCCAGATTTACAAGAGGTCATCCAAAAATAGCCACAGTTTCAAAAGTAATAGTAGAAATTTAGCCACTTTTTCATGTAAAGATAAATCTGCACGAAAACACTGTTCAAAATCCGGATAATACTCCAGCATAATATACTAGAACTCCAGTGAGAGTTCCAGCAAAGTATACTGGAACTCTAGTATATTATATTGGAGTTCCAGTATAATATACTGGACTTCCAGCATAATTTACTGGAGTTCCAGTATAATATACCGATTCAGCATAATATGCTGGAAGTTCATATACAAGTGCATCGATCTCTAGTATATTATTCTGGAACTTTTCGTGTTGCAGCAAAATAGTGGCTATATTTCAATGACTTTGCAAATGCTGATTATTTTTTGAATGATCAGTCCGAGAACTGGCTAGCCTGCGCTATTTTTATGTTATAGAGAGGTTTGACTGTAATAATAATAATAATAATAATAATAATAATAATAATAATAATAATAATAATAATAATAATAATAATAATAATAATAATAATGTGCTCTTTACGTGTTTTTGTACACATAGGCAAGTGTAGGATTTTTGGGACATAAGTGCACTACTAATAAAAGGAGAAAAAAATAGTATTAAGTGAGAATTGATCTCTATTCCCCTAGGTAAATAACTCAATGTTCAACCAAATGCATCATTCAACCTCTTTGGCAGTGACGGAGCTAGAATTTTCACCAAGGGGATCCAAAAATATAAAGGAATGAACACTCAGAGAAGCTAATAGGATTCAATCTCTATTATATATATATATATATATATATATATATATATAAAATATTTTTGACCTTGTATATATAGTGTAATTTTCCGGTTAAGGGGTCGGATGAACCCCCGTTCTTAGCTTTGCCCATGCTTTTTATAGTAGTTAGGTTAGACTGTCTACATCTTTCCTTTTGGAGTGTGGCCCTTACGAAACCCTACGAACGCGAAACAGTGGCGGACCTACATAGATCATTATGGGTGCTCAAGCACCCATTGTCTTTGACTAGATCTAGTAGATTTACATATGCAATCTACAAAATATTTGGATAAGTATTGAGAGAGCACCCACAACTAAATTTGTTTTCCCTCTTTTTTTAGAATTTTTATCCCCCAACACCCACGACTTTAAAATCTTGAATCCGTCACTGACGCGGAATACCCGTGCACGGGGCTGCCCTTTCTTAGTGTTGTACGCGAAGCTCAGCAAAAGTAACTATTTTAGAAGTTTCGAAAAAAAAAACTATGCATTAAACACCAAATGTTGATTAGAAAATGAATTTCACTAAAACATGTTGGATTAAACCGATTAATGTCGTACAAAACCAGATCATGTACTAAATAAAAAATAATGCTCAAATGTCAGAGAAAAAAAGGAAAAAAAAAATAGAAAATAATAATTTAGGAAAAATAACAATATGGAATCCTAATGATTAATTTTCAGTCAATTTCTTATTTAAAAAATATTTAACTGGTCATTCAGTCGGCCACTGAGCAGTGAGCCATCCCTCTTTATTACCGTTAAATCATACTTCCTCCTCGGGACCCAAAAGTCCACTTGCTACTTCCACAAAGACACAAAAGAAAACAATTTACTATTACTATATAATGTTTGTTCAAACACCAATATCTAGACAAATATACTTTTGAATTTTGTAAAGTTTAAACTCATTTTGCATATTGGTTTTGAAGTAAAAGGAGGACTCTTTTGACCTTTAAAATGTTGAAGGTTATTGTTTTCTCAAAGTAAAGGTTAAAGAAGCCGAACGATATGATGCTCTAAATATTAGATGTTTATTATGTGATGATATATTAAATATATGTAGGGATGAATACAATGTTTTAAAAGGCGGGGGCGTGAGGCGAGGCGTTTTACCTCTGACGAGGCGAGGCGTAAGCCCCGAGACATGGGGCGTAAGTCCCACGGATCTTCAAATTTTACTAATTTCAAGAATTTTAAGATAGTATAAAATAAAAAATAATTATAAAAATTACATTAAAATCACAAAATTATAACAAATAATATATTTAAAATATTAATAAATTATAATTCAACTATGAATAATACGAAAAGTATGACAAAATATCATAATATGCAAATAGTTGCAATGTCGTTACAACTCAAACATCAAAAGTAATGTATTCGATACGAAATCTTATATGT